AGGGTCTTTGAAAGCTTTGGGTTTTAGGGTTTTAGGGCTTGGGTTTAGGGTTCCAAGGGCGTTTAGGGCTTCTGGTAAACTACCGTTGTCTCTTTGTAATCGGTGTTCAGCTCGCCTAGGGTTTACTGGTTAGGGTGTAGGGTTTAAGATATGGGGAACACAAACCCAGAGAGCCCAATGCACCTGAAATAAGGAACATACCTTAAATCATAAGGGGCTTCATACTCTGATTTAAGCTATATTCCTTCATTAACGGCTATATGGGTCTTACAAAAACTCCATTAAAAAACCGTAAAGAAGCCCTTGAATGAACCCCAATTTATGGCCATATTCCTTAACTAGGGCGTAGTGATCACAGGGGAAGAGGACGGACCCTGAATGGGGACCCCTACCCTATAATGGGCTATATAATGGGTATATAGTATTATCTATATTAAGGGTATATACCTAGGGGTCCTTATTAAGGGTCCCTCCTTTTACCCTTGGAATTGAGCTCTCTGCTTGGAGGCCCGGGGGACTTCGTAAGTCGGCTATAAGTAGGGTAGTTATTATTGGGGTATCTCCATTTAGGATACTTTACTTATAACCTACATACTAAGTCTTCTAGGCCTCCAAGGAGGGGGTAAGGGGTATTGAGCTCTCTGGGAAGCTTTGTTGAAGGAGTGCGCACTGGGAGGGCGTTAAGCTTAAAACCGTGTCCCATTTCTGCAAAGTGCAATTCGCACGCGGTGCCCCGTCTTCGAGCTTTTCAAGTGCACTTGTAGCTCTGTCCCGACCCTCCTCGTACCATGGCGGCGCCGGCCATGGAGGCAGAGGCCGACTACCGGGAGGTGCTCAACTTGTTACCCGTGTTCTGGCTCCCGGTGTGCCTACGGGAGATCGTGATGTTGAGAGTGATCTTGACAGGGTTTCTCGAACCGCCATGGTTGGCAAACAAAGCGGTTGGCGAAGTGCCGTCCCGTGAACAGTACAGTGGCAACCATGGCAAAGGCGGACGCCCAAAAAAACACCAGCAAGTTCAGGTCCGAAGCTCTGGCCGGTTCGGTGGACAGGCTGCTTCGGGGTGAGGGCTTGGGTGTTGCACAAGCTTTTGCTTAATTTTTGGGTCATGTCTATACGGTCCCCATTCGAGCAGGCTCGCAGTGCGGAGGCTGAGATACGTTTTCTCCAGCGACATTGGGACAAGCCCCTTTTCCAGAGGGCAGGGTTCCTGAGGATCCTTCGTGACATCCTCATCGACCAAGGCAAGCCAGACTTCAGGTTCTCCACAGACGCCGTGAACACACTCATGCAAGCAACGGCGGCCTTGGGAGTCGAAGCCTTTGTCAGAGGGGCCATTGCTGCGAGACACGCCAGGCGTGGCACAGTCATGCTCCAAGACTACCGTCTTCATGGAGAGCTTCAAAATGTACGCTGGGGAGATGTCATTCCCATCCCGCCGCCTCCACCGAAGGCCGGTGAGAGTTCAGTGTTTCAAGAGTGTTGAAAAGCACATACAACCTCCACCCTAAGCTATTTAATCCCTAAACCCGAAGCCCTCAACCGTCATCCTCACAAATCACAGGTCGTTCCGAAGCTGCGTGGTGCCAAGCGTGCTATCGAGGAGGCGCTGAAGTAGGCATAGTGCGTTTTACAGCTCTGTAAAAACGCACGGCCCTAGAGAAAACACCTTAATCCTAACCCCCTAAACCGCCCCAAAGAACAAATAGTGCGTTTTGCAGCTCTGTAAAAACGCACGGCTCTAGAGAAAGCACCCTAAACCCCGAGCCCCTAAACCGCCCCAAAGAACAAAGAGTGCGTTTTACAGCTCTGTAAAAACGCACGGACCTAGAGAAAACACCCTAAACCCTAACCCCCTAAACCGACCCAAAGAACAAATAATGCGTTCTACAGCTCAAAAATAATAATTCTAAGCAGGGACTTAAACACACCCGAGGGGGCCAACTGTCAACCAACATATGAGAAAACAACAATGATTCCGAGCAGGCGCCTGTCACCGATGGGTGGTGCGTCAAGTGCTCGCTCAAGGTGGCTGATTCCCGCGACGGGATTTGCCACAAGTGTGGAGGAGAGTTGGCCCCTCAGGAGCCCAAGAAGTCCCGTAGCAAAGCTCCCCCCGGCTACAGTGAAGAGGAGCTCGCGCAACGGCATGGGCGCTTTAGCACGCGTTCCAGTGCGCGCATTCGCGAGAAGGCGTTCAAGAATGTGCGCACTTTGAACTGATCTGATGATCTGATAGAGGTCAGTTTTGCAGTTTTGCATCAGTTTTGCTGTCTGGCGGCGAGGACTCTTGACTCAGGAGTCTTTGCTTGCTTCTCGAAGGGAGGCCTGAGCTTCGTTCCGGAAAAGCTTGCTTCAAGGGCCCTGAACATAATGCGTTTTACAGTTTTGTATGGGGGTGTACGAAGGGAGCTGCAGTAGTACTATGGGGGCCTTAACAATTAGAATAGGGTTTCGGTGTATGTTATACCAGAATTCTCATCAGGAGCCCCCAAAACCTTATTCTAATTATTAAGAAAAATTAAGGCCCCTACATTATCCTAGACCGGTCTCACGCAAGCGAATCCACGGACCGAGTATCTTCAGAAGCCTTTTGGCTTACAAGGGGATTTAGGGTTTAGGGTGCAAAAACCCGGTCTAATGTAGGAACCTGATTAGGAAACCGCGGGCCTATAACCCCAAAATAATAGGGTTCATATAAGGAAGCTTAATAAATGCCCAAGGTTTCTTAATCAGCTTCCTACATTAGGGTTTATAGTGAACCCGAAAAAGTTGGAACATGAATATCGATGCTGGGATTCCGTTTGCTTTACCTTAATGGCTAAAGGGTAATGTTCCAACTGTCTGGCTTTCCCTGTAAGTCTGTGGTTTAATTCGGCTGTCTCTAAACTCTACGAGCTCGAAGTGTTTGGAGTCGTATCGTCCCAAGCCCGAAATCTGATACCTCAGTGTGCTTGAGTTCTGGAGTCTTTGGCTGGACAATGTGTTGTGCGTTCTTATAGCCCTGTGAAACGCACGACTACCCCGATGCCAAACCCGAATCTCATATTGAGTTCTGCTGTGCGTTCCTAAAGCCCTGTGAAATGCACAGCTACCCCCGAAAGCTTCGAAACCCACAACACCCTGAACACCCCTCCAAAACCGAAGGGCCCCAACCCCCCCCGAAGGCCCAAGCAAACCGAAATCCAGACGAAGGGCCTGCAAAAACCCTCTGCCAGGACGTGGCGGCGCGCAGATTGGGTTGCATCCGACTGACAAAACGTGCGTTCTTCGGGGTACGCAGCCAACGGCCACTCAAAGCTCTGTAAAAACGCACGGCCCTAGAGAAAACAGCTTAAACCCTGACCCCTTAAACCGCCCCAAAGAACAAACAGTGCGTTTTACAGCTCTGTAAAAACGCACGGCCCTAGAAAAAACACCCAATAAAACCGTAACCACACTTAAACCGCGAAATAGTGCGTTTTACAGCTCTGTAAAAACGCACGGCCCTAGAGAAAACACCCTAAACCCTAACCCCCCGAAACCGCCCCAAAGAGCAAATAGTGCGTTTTGGCTCTGTAAAATCGCACGGCCCTAGAGAAAACACAGTAAACCCTTACCCCCGAAACCGCCCTAAAGAACAAATAGTGCGTTTTGCAGCTCTGTAAAAACGCACGGCTCTAGAGAAAGCACCCTAAACCCCGAGCCCCTAAACCGCCCCAAAGAACAAAGAGTGCGTTTTACAGCTCTGTAAAAACGCACGGACCTAGAGAAAACACCCTAAACCCTAACCCCTTAAACCGACCCAAAGAAGAAATAATGCGTTTTAGAGCTCTGTAAAAACGCACGGCCCCAGGGGCTGAACCCGCTTGCGCAAGCGCAACATGCTGCTTAGCTCGGCACACGTCGGTACACCATCCTGTGCCTTCCAATTGCCTGGGTCCGTCCGACGGCGTTGAGAAACCCTCAACACAACAGGCTCGTTCCGGGAATCCCCGCCCGCCATCATGTACCTCTCCGCTCGTTTGACGGCATGGGCAACCCCCAGCAGACCCGCTACGTTCTATTCACATTCCACGTTCCGAGCAACATGATACGTTCTCACGTTTCACGTTCTCAAGGAAGCACTGTCCTCTTTGCGTAGTATAGTTGGCAACTCGTTCCGGGAGCACGTTCCGAACTGCGTTCCAGAACGTGCGTTTTACGTGCTGCGTACCGATGCCACTAAGTTCAGGGTTTGAGTTTCGGGTTTAGGGGAGTGTTCAGGTTTGTGCTTCAGCAAACCGTAAGGTCCGACCCGAAACCCCAAGAGCTGTAGCCCCGAGCCTTAAAATCTGAACTGGGCCGTAAAGCCTTATCCCGAAGTCCTGGACCCTCCCTCAAACCTACAACAGGCACCCTGATCCCTAAAAGCTCGAGACCCAAAACCCTGCGTAAACCCTAAACCCTAACTCGGGTTTAGCTAGGGTTTAGGGTCTAGGGTTTAGGAACCCTAAACTCTGGACCCCCCCCCCCCAAGCCAGCAAGAACACAACCCCCGGTTTAGGGTTTAGGGTCCATAAAGTTTCGGGTTTACAGGGTTTAGGATTTGGGGTTTGGGTAGGGCGTAGTAGGGTTTCAGTTTGCATATGGAAACTTCTTGAAGGTTTGCCAGCTACAAGCTGTGCTTCAATAGAAATCTTATGTTGGTAGCATCACAGCAATGTGGTTTAGGGTTTAGGGTTTAGGGTTTAGGGTTTAGGGGCAAGTGCCAACAAATAGGGTTTGGTTCTCCGGAGCTCACTTCCTAGGGTTCCGTTCGGGGCCTCGCAGGCGAAGCCCCGAAGTCCTTAACCTAAACCCCTAAACCCTAAATCGTAAGCCCAAGGCCCGAAATCCTAAACCCTAAACCCTACCTGGACCCCAAAAGTATGTAGAATAATAGCCCTTTATAGGTATTGGGCCATTATTTTACCTACTTTGGGGGGTTTAGGTAAGCCCTAAAACCCTAAACGCGAAAGCCTGTCTCTGCCCAAGCTCAGGTGTTACTTATCCCACATCCGAACAAGCCTCTTGTCGACAGTGGGCTCGTCTTTCGCTTTGGCTCTTAGGTTGCTCTGCATGGCTTAGGATTTGAAGCTTAGGGTTTCGGGCTTAGGGCTTAGGGGTCCAGGAGTAAAGATTTAGGGCTTAGGGGCTTGGGGTGTGCGGGCTTGGCTGTAGTGGTGCAGGGTTTAGCCATGTAGGCTTCGGCCTCGAACTATGCCGCATGCAGGCCGTTGTGCGATCCTAGGGTTCCAACTCCAGGGTCTCAGGTTGCCGGATGCAAGATTTAGGGTTTCAGGTTGACGGTTGAATCTTTTTATCGTTGGGGGGGGGGTGGGCTGACAAGGGGTGGAGGGCTTGTGGCACCGTTTTTGAGGGAGGGAAGGAGGGAGGGAGGGGTGGATGATTATTTGCTCTGTGAATGAGGGGCAGCGCAGGGGGTTTCTCAAAATAGCGTCATTACTTTGGTCTCACTTCGACTTCCGGTCCCTGGGATGATGAATCAGGAGATTTGAATTCAACTCATTTCGATTTGACGGCTTTGGTCCAAGGGCAAAGACCTGTCAAAGCTTTCCCTCCTGGCAGGGCATTTGAGATTGCAACTACGCAAAACCCTAAAGCCCTGAATCCAGGACCCTAAAACCTTCAACTCTACACCCAATGCCCAAAATCCTGTAAAGCGACTTTCACGTTGCTCCACACCGTACGCGAACTCTCGGGGTGGGATCCCACCGCTTGCTGCTTTGAAAAGCCCTCACATGGTGAGCAGTCTAAGTGCAGGTCCAGGGCAATGTAGGGGCCTTAATAAGTAGAATAGGGTTTGGGGGATATTGTACTCCACTTACCACAAGGAAAACCCCCCCAAACCCTATTCGAACTGTTAAGGCCCCTACATTAAGCATCCTAACGTGAAGCCTTCTTTCCAGTGAAGCGAGGAAAGGCCAGCGATCCCCGTTCATCCGCGACAGCCTCCAACTCCTGGGCCTCGCGCTTGGGTGCTATCTTTTTGTGACTGCGTTGTGTGTGTGTGTGTGTGTGTGTGTGTGTGTGTGTGTGTGTGTGTGTGTGTGTGGGTCTCTGTGTGTGTGTGCGCGTGTGTCTGTCTGTCTGAGAGAGAGAGAGAGAGAGAGAGAGAGAGAGAGAGAGAGAGAGAGCGAGCGAGAGCGAGAGAGAGAGAGCAAGAGCAAGAGCAAGAGCAAGAGCAAGAGCAAGAGCAAGAGCAAGAGCAAGAGCAAGAGCAAGAGCAAGAGCAAGAGCAAGAGCAAGAGCAAGAGCAAGCAAGAGCAAGAGCAAGAGCAAGAGCAAGAGCAAGAGCAAGAGCAAGAGCAAGAGCAAGAGCAAGAGCAAGAGCAAGAGCAAGAGCAAGAGCAAGAGCAAGAGCAAGAGCAAGAGCAAGAGCAAGAGCAAGAGCAAGAGCAAGAGCAAGAGCAAGGGAGGGAGGCGCCGCGTTTTGTCATGAAGGTGTTGGCAGTCCTGGGTCGTTTGGGAGGTGCACTGCTGAGGTTTCAGAGCAGGGTCAATCCCTGCATCAGAGGTTCTAGGCTGCGGGTGGTTTTGTGCAGGGAATGACGATCAGCACCCGGAATCTGACTGCGAGTATGTATTTCATCAGTGTGACGGTGGTGATTCTTGATTTTTTTGCGGCTAACGTCTGATGTCTGTCAAGCTTCTTACAACTTCAGGGCTTCTAGTTCTCCGCTAGACTGTCTACAGTACGTGGAGGTGCAGTTACGTAGTAATCGCGCCAGCCTTATAGCGCGCTATGCCCCAGATTGTTACATAGTCTTACATTGCTGTTTGTAGCTTGCATAAGGGGCACACTTGAGCGTGCAAGTTTCCACAGTTAAGCTGTCAGCCAAAGCATCACATGAGAAGCCTTTTCCTGAGTCCCTCTTCCTGGTTTAGAATGGAGAGCATATGCATCCGAAGCTTTGCAATTTGGTTCTGCTGGGAGGATCATGAGACTTTGTTCACTCAATGCCCCCTTCAAGGAACCCTTCAAGTTACTAAGTCCGATCCTTCCAGTAGGGCTTCCAGTCTAGTCTAGACCCTAAACCGTAAATCTCAAATCCTGCACCCTAAACCCTAGACCCCAAACCCTTGACCCCAAACCCTACACCCAACACCAACACCCTAAATCCTGAACCCCAACCCTTCAACTCTACACCCCAAGCCCTAAACCCCACACCCTCGACCCTGCAACCGACACCCTAGACTCTACTCTCCAAGGCCTCGAAGATCATCGCATTGTGCAGTTCCCGCCGTGCCGAGTGGTCTTCGCGAGCGAGGTCGGGGCGCACGCAAGGATTTCATGTTCAGTCTTTTGGTTTGGGGTTTTAGGGTTTAGGGTTTAGGGTTTAGGGTTTAGGGTTTAGGGTTTAGGCTTCTGGGTTTAGGGTTTAGGGTTTAGGCTTCTGGGTTTAGGGTTTAGGGTTTAGGGTTTAGGCTTCTGGGTTTAGGGTTTAGGCTTCTGGGTTTAGGGTTTAGGGTTTAGGGTTTAACGGGCGAACACCAGAGGCTCGGTTCCCGAAGCCACGAACCTCACCCGCACCGAACGCTGGCAAAGGCGCAAACTCTCCGATCGAAGCACCAAACAATGAGCCTGGTTTAGGGGTACCTTCATTGGGGTCATAAGTAATTATAAGTACAGTTACCTAAATTATAACCCTAGTTACTAAGTCCCATGACCCTTAGGGGTTTTAGATGCAGCAACCCGCATCGCCATGAGTCTGAACGCCGACCCGCTCCTGAGCAGACCCAGTCGTGAACCCTGGGATGAACACCAGGCTAATGTAGGAAGCCAGCTGCCAAGAAAGCCGGCGATCCAGGTTCAGGCCAAGGCGAAGGTGAAGCCAACAATCAAGGCAAAGGCCGAGAACCCAGATTCTTCACCGGAACCATGGGAGTACGGCCGGGGCTGGGAGGAGTGCGAGCTGATGTCCAAACGCCCCAACTACAGTCCATGGCCGGGCCAATGTGATCTGCCCAAGCACCGTTCCACCTTGGTTTCTTGCGAGGAGAAGCAATGCCGCACGCTCTGAGCCAGTGAGCTTTCTGGCCATGCCATGATCTGTTTTGTTCATTGAGCCAAATATGGCTATGCCAGGTCCAGCAAGAGCTTCCACGGGCACCTGAAGGCTCCTAATACTATCATATTCCCCGAAAGCAGAATCGCAGTATGAAGGCTTGTATCATGACGTCCCCAACCCCAAAGGTGCCCTTCCTAAGCCCGAAACCCTAAACCCTAATCCCTAAGCCTTCAAGCCCTCACACCTCAAGTGCCCGGACAGTTTGAATCCGTTAAGTCCCCCCCCTGGAGCTGCCCCCTAAACCCTAAAACCGAAACCCTCATGCGAGACGGAAAAGGGACATTCATTGAAAAAACGCACTAAATCTAGGTAGGGCTTGGGGACATTTTATATTTGCCAGCTCTTATTGGGCTTAAGAGGATCTTACTTAATTTTTTTCAAAGGCTTTACAAGCACCTCCTAAAAATGCGGAACCTCTGAGCCGAAGCCTTGCAGCCGGCCGCAAAGCGTCCTTTCACCTCCTCGAAGTTGCAGCAGGCCTGAGAATTAGTCCTTTTTCCTCGGGGTTCCTTAAAGTAGCTACGCCGCAATATACTCTGAACTCCGTTCGAGTTATTGAGGCACCCAGCTTAGATGCAGGAGTGAGTATCAGATTCCATCAGAAAGCTTCAGCTCTGCCTTTGTTCAGCATAAGCAGCGCTGCAGCCAGTGAAAGTAACGACTGGGCCGGATCGGCCATGACATGCCTTAGGCCACGGAAAGACAAGAAGGGACCCCAACAGAAGCCCTAGGCCCTAAACCCTAAACCCTAAACCGTTAAGAAGTAAAAGCCTTACTATCCGGATCCCCACAAGCAGGTGTGAAGCCCGCAGGACTCTGAATCCCCCCCAAGCCCTACACCCCAAGCCAAGCCTCAACCGTATGACACTAAAACCCTAAAGCCCTAAAACCCTAAAACTCTCAACTCCAAAACCCTAAAGCCCGAAACCCTAAGCCCCGAAACCCTAAACCCTAAACCCTAAAAACCCTAAAGCCCTAAACCCGAAGCTCCTAAACCCTAAACCTCAAAACAGAGCTCGCTCTCTACAAACCCTGAACCTCGGAAGGTCTTGCTCAACCCTAAAAACCCTAAAGCCCGAAACCCTAAGCCCCGAAACCCTGAGTCGAACTTCGGAAGGTCTTGCTCGCCGGCGCGGGGCCGCGCGCAGCCCTGGCCAGAGACGCGGAGGGCCGAGCCAGGGCTGCGCGGCCTGAGATATTTGGGGTCAAAGGTCTTAGGGCTTAGGGTTTCATTTTAAATGGATCTGTAAGGGTTCCTTTAAAGGGATCTTTGGGGTATTACGGTTTAGGGTTCAGGGTGAGGGGTCTCAGGGTGGCGGGTCGAGGGTTTTAGGGTCTTAGGGTTTAGGGTTTAGGGTCGTGGGTTAGGGTTAAGGCGGTTAAGGGTCTTAGGGATTCAAGTATGAGGTTTACTATAAGGGACCATAAGGTATCAGTCTGTTTTCAGTATGTAGGCCAGGGTTGCCACAAGGGACTAGAAGGTATCGAACGTTTTGGGACAAATCTCAGAACGCTTGCCACAAGCATGAAAAGGGGTTACGAAGGTACGGCAAGGGTCCCGCCTGGCAAACGTCCTGTAGCAAACATGTGTCGAAGTATGGAAATGGGAGTTTCCGAAAATAGAGACCCTTATGTGGACCCCTATTTTCGGAAACTCCCAAATAGAGTAGCTGAGGGTTTAGGGTTCAAAGTTTCGGGGTCTCTCTCAAGCGACAAAGGGCCCTGCAAGGGACCTAAACCCCTTAGCCCTAAACCCTACAAGGGACTTATCCAAACTTTACACGAGCCAAGCCCCACAAGGAAGATTACGATGGTCTTGGCTGAACACACACAAACCACAGCCCAAAACCTAAAGCACGAAGCGGTTTGGAGTTTAAGGTTGGGGGTTTATGGCTTCTAGGGTGTTA